CTTGTGTTAATTGTAATTTTTACTTTGGTGTTTTCCCTCAGTTTGTGGCATAAAAAAGCAGTATGTACATATGGCATTCATTTTTTCTTAAAGTAATGGTTTGGTCTTAATCCTTTCCTCTCTATAGTTTTTCATTGCATTGTCTGGTTAAATAGTTTGCTAATAATGTCAAAATATTTAGAGCAAAAGGGGACTTCATGCCTTGTGTTTGATAACCCTTATCTAATGTTCGTTTGTGACTTAAAACAAAAATAAAAAGCTATGAGTTCTATAAGTTTGAAATGTCATTTTATGCAACAATGATAGGTGAGAGCTGTTGGAGGAGAAATCTTTGCTAATGTGTAAATATTCACTAAAATGATAGGTTAGAGCTGTTGGAGGAGAAATCTTTGCTAATGTGTTTATTTGTAACGTTAAACATTTCTGACCCTTTTTGTAGAAGAAGGATATGTAAAAATGTTTCTGCGTGGACGTCCTGTTACCATGTACATGCCCAAAGATCAAGTGGAATCTTACAATTTGGAAGCAAAAGTGGAACTACCAGCAAAGAGGCTTAAATTGGAATGGGTGTATCCTTTCTATGCTAAAGCATTACAGGGAACTACTAATTTGTTAGCAATTACCTTAAAATTTAGTTTTTAAATTATTGAGCACATTTTAGGTCTTTATGTTGAATTAATTACTTTAATGAAATATTACACCACATTCACTTTTTAAATAGGTGATAATTTCTTGAAGCTGATGCTCCAGATTTTATGCAAAATAGTCAAGCAGCTCGAGGAAGGTTTCATGTAAATCTTGCCTGAAGGTTATGTTTAAAATGTGTTAACTATCACAAATTAAAATTAGGCATATTGTAAGAGTTTAGTGAACTATGATTACTAATTAAATGTGCATAAAACAAGTTTGCTTCTTTTTCTGATACATATCAGTACTTTGCTATTACACTATATTTTTTAAAAGGAACATGTCGTTTTTAAGAAGTGATATAATTGCAGTACATAAGGAACACAAGGGATCTTATAGACTATTTTTATACATGACAAATTCTCTTCACTGTAATGAGAAATAAAGATCAATTTTTTTTTTAAATGGAGCCTTACATTATACTCAGCTATCTGCATTTAGATGCCAGTCCCCTATTATCAAGTTTTGTTGTAAGTGTCACAGTAGAGGCGAGACTTGAGCAGGCATTTCATGGAGGGTAATATGATTACTTTACACATTTTTATTGAGTGCTCCTTTTTAGCATAAGGGCAAGCATGGGAGAATGCATGAAGGTACTTGCTAGAAAATTTTGACAAATCGGCAACAAAGGCTGCATTGCTCTAGACCACAGCTTCCACTCTACCAACAGCATTTCAATCTACTATATATTTTATAAAATGTGTCTCTGTGCGCACATGTGTGTGCGAGTGTCTGACCGTTCTTCTGTGAGTCCATTTGTTCAAGAACTCCTCCTAAATGGAAAGAGGTAGGGCCACCAAATTTAGTTTGTGTCTGCTTCTTATCACAACATAAAGCAAGGCCAAGCTTTGGTTGTGTCAGGAAAATGGGATGTGTGGGGAATGTGATTTTTTTCACATCAAACAGAAAGAGAGGGGTGTGATAGCAGGAACCATTCTATGCATGAATAACCACACAGTAGCAGCAAGCACAGGGGACAGTTATACTGACGAATGACCACAGGGGGGCAGCAAGCGCCCCAGCCCTAGGGAGCAGCCATTGGCCGGCAGCACAATCACTGCCACACCAGACTGCCCTTGGAGAGCAGCTGCTGACCATGCTGTGCGGCCTCCCATGTTGTATCGATCCCAGGGAGAAGGCGGCAGTTGGGAAGCCCGGCCCCCAGCAACCTGGGCCGGACCCAGACCTAGGCAGTGCCAGGTATGTCATCTAGTATTGTTTAAAAATCGATATCTCAATTATAAGGGATAGGCCATGACTTCCGTTTAAACATTCCCATGTTTAAAGTTACAGAGATAAGTAGATGCTAATGGAATTAGGCCCTTGTTTTTATGTTATATTCATAATATACCCTATTAGAAAGCTTAAGTTTTCTACCCATGGTATTATGTCAAAGGTTAACAAACTTAAACCAGTGCTGGGTAGATGAAGATTAGAAAATAGAGGAGAAAAAATATTTTAAAAAAATACCATGCACAATTTTTGTTTCAGGCATTTCTTTCTTTGGACGTAATCAGTATGACTGTTTGCAGGCTTAGGAGTTAAACTCGTGTAAATTTTTGCAGAATACAGGAACTAAGATGTTACTATTTTTTATTATGTTATTACTATCACACTGAGGAACCCTAGTCATGGACCAGGATCAGTACAAACAGAACAAGACAATGGTCCATCTCCGAAAGAGATTACAACCTAAGCATGATGATAATGGAGTCTCACTTCAGTGTTGAAGGACAAGGATTAAGCAAACATTATAGGTGAGGTCAGACTAATGAGAAAAATACAAACATGGTTACATGTGGGGCAGGTAAGATTTTCCATGACCATTGCAGGTAGTTGTATCTTTGCTTTGTGGTGTTCATGTTTTTCACATACGGTCTTAATGAGCCTTGCTTCAAAGCAGTTAGTGGCAATATAACAAATCTTCAGCCATCTTGCTCAGTTTCTGGGATCAACTTGATATGCTTTCAAGTTTGACTTCAGTGTGTCTGTGTATTGTTTGTAGTGGCTTACAGGAAAACAAGTGCATTGCTTTAAATGACCATAAAGTATGGGCTTTGGTATTGTCAGTTTGGCCATACAAATGAGATGTTCTGATCAATGCAGCTGAGCTTATATAAGCATGCTTTGAATGCCAGACATTCAGCAATAGCTAAGGTTTTCAATAATGAGAATTTTGTCCTACCATTTCATTTTGCAAACAGATTGAAGACAGCACGTACAGAACTCATCAAGTTTCCTAATGTGGCAATCATGTGTTGTCCAAATCTCACAACCATATAGAAGCATTGTAAGCACAACTCTCCAGTAGACATTTAGCTGTTTCATAGGTGGTGTGAGAGCATTCCAAATGCAGAACTGCCGTTGGCCTTGTGATGGGTAATCTTATCATCAGTTCTGGTATTCAGTGACAGTGTACACTGTAGGTAGCAAAACTTCTCCACTGTCTTGAGACGGGTGTTGTTAATCTTAATAAGTGGTAGACATATTCATCCCTGGGTACAGGTTGGCACAGTACTTCAAATTTCTTTCATCTGATTTTGAAACCAACATAATTGACTGCACTTAGCATAGTGATCTCATATAAATTGAATGTGATCAATATAGTGAGCAACCAGGGCACAGTCACCAGCAAATGAAATCTCCTTAATGAATAAATTGGCCACTTCTATGTTAGCACAAAAAGCACTGCAGATAGTACAGTATCCCCAGAATGCAAAACTGAATAAATATCTAATGAATAAATTGGCCACTTCTATGTGAGCACAAAAAGCACTGCAGATAGTACAATGTCCCCAGAATGCAAAACTGAATAAATATTCTTCTGTCAATGTCATGAAAGGCATCCATTAGTGTAGTCAAAAAAGGATGGAAAAGAGACAGCCAACAGGCAACATTGTTTGGTATGTCTGATGACTGGGAAGAGATCCAGAAACAAAGTTCTCTACCATTCTGGCCATCATCACATCACAGAACAATTGAATGGCAAAAATAATTTTTGTAGGCCTTCCAGAGATAAAAATGTCCAGAATCCCTCATGATTTAGAGTCCAGAGCTGTAGCTAAATTTGTGAATGCCATATAAAGACTACAGTTTTGCTCTTGGCATTCTTCCTGAAGCTGACAGCTGTAAAGATCATGTCTGCAGTGCGCCTTCCAGACCAGAACCCGTATTAAGACTTGAAAAAGATTATTTCCACAAGATAGATGTCTTCAGTATGATCCATGCAAAAAAATTTTCCTGCGACAGAGAACAGGGAAATGTCATGGTGATTATCTATTTGCCACATCACCCTAATGTTTAGAGAGATGGACAATGTTGACATCATTAAAATCCTGTGGCACCTACTCTTGCTCCCAGATAATGTGGAAGAGCCATGTGAGGTGCCTTCCTGACTGTGTCCACCCTGCTTACAGATATCTGCTAGACTGCCATCCAATCTGAATGTTTTGCTTTGTGACATCTACTTCATTGTTACTGTGTTTTCATAAGGTGAAGACTAGTGTGAGTTGTCTTAATGGATGTAGTGAAAGAGGATTTTGTTAATGGAAGTAGTAGAAGAAGACTAATTGCATCCTTAAAAATTCTGAAGGGCACTAAGAAGGGGGCTGAAATATTCTGTCCATTGTCATGTGTTTTTGTGTGTGTGTCTGTTGACTCAAGTGCCTTTCAGTGTTCACACGGGGGTTATCTTGTATCAAGATCCACCATGCTGCATAATGGATCAGCTAAGTATAAGACGAAAACAGTGGATGGATACAGACAGCAGATGGGCAGAGCAAGGAAACAGTCTGATAATATTGGTCAAGACTGTGGTCTCAGCATGTCAGAGGCCTAACCATTGTCAAGATTTTTGTATGCAGCTTGGCAAAAGAAAAGTTTTAAGGAAGATAGCAAGATAGCTTTGCAGATGTTGATGGATTGCTCCTTCCAAGCAAGAGGAGTAGCACACAAGGAAGTACAAAGATGCTTGTTTAAATTTAACAAGTGGATAATGGAGACTGATGCTGTAAGAACTTTCAAGGCTGGGACTATAGGGGTTCTTCTCTACTGATGCCTCCCTCCATCATCACAGTAGGCTTAGACTGGGCTCCTGTAGGAGGATTCTGTGAGGCTAGGCTCAGCAGGAGGTGCTGCACAACAGGACCTAAGTGGCAGCTCCTCACAGCCCACTGTCTGGGTGGTACCAGTACCTAACACAGGAAGCTATGACAGAGAAATGTTTGAGCAACAGCACAGTCCCTCTGCCTGTCTTTGCTTCAGACCCTACACTTAAAAGCCCAGACTTCTGACTCTGCCTGTCTCCTTATGCTTTACTCTTGCTTTGTCCTGCCTTGGACTCTGACCTTCTTGTAAATAACCCAACCTGACTCTGGATCTCACCACCCATGTCCCTGTCAGGAGAGGCATTCTGATTGGACATGGGAATCAACATCTCACTAGGTAGGGTGGTGATAGAGCTCCAAGATAAAATGACAACTAGCATATGCAGAATGCTTCTTCCAGGTGGTGGAGGCATCAACAAGGCCTGGTTTCAATACCTAGGGGTTCTCTTAACAATACAAAATGGAGTCAGTTTGAACCACCATCCAGTAATCTTGAAAAATTAAAACACCACCTCTGAATGTCTCTCAGAGGCAGTATTTCCCCACTTGCATGTTCTGAATCTACGTACAACAAACAAAATTATTAAAAGAAAAAAGCACTGTTAATTTGGGAACACTGCAACAATGACTTAACACACCTGCCCCATGCTATATTGGGCAGTGTCTGTTTTCTTAGTTTCCCATCTGGCAGCATGAGAGTCCAAGGGATGGATGTCTTTTTAACATGCCAGTCCTCTTTTTCCTCTGCTGCACTCCACACCGCTAATCGAAGATCAGAAACCTACCCAGAGTCCAGGGGATGTTTTTGGGTGGGTTCACCCAAACTAGAGCAGAGAGGGTGGTCGTGTGGTGCCTCCACCTCTGCCCATCAGTGTCTTTGAAGACTTTGCTGCTGTTTGTCTCTGTCACTCTCTGCATGTCACTGATGCCACTAGTGCTGCTGCTCACCATCATTACTGCTACTTGTACCTGTGATGCTGTCTTTTGAAATTCCACCAGTTAGCCCCTTTCTCAGTGATTTCAGCCTTGTAGGTATTTTAATGAATAGTGGGGAATCTCTCTGCTGCTGCCCCTACTGGATTGTCTTTTCACCTCAACACTGTCTGTGTAGCTGGGCTAAGGTTCCACTCTCTTAGATCAGCTTATCAGTGAGCTCAGCTCTAGAAATCACTGAGAAAGAAGCAGGACTTTCAAATCGGGACTTTCAAACACTTGAGGAGGGAGGGTTAAATGGCTTCTGGGTCTCTTTAAACAGGTATACATTACCAGGTAGGAACATCCGTCCCTAACCCATTTGACTCTTGGATTTGGCATCACAACCCTACACTTAGGGTACATCTACACAGCAACGTTATTTCAAAATAACTAGCATTATTTTGAAATAACTTAGTTCGCGTCTATACAACAGGCAGTTATTTCGGAATACTGTCAATCTGGAAGACTTCTTACTCTGACCCCTGTAACCTTCATTGTCTGAAGACTAAGAGAAGTCAGAGGAAGATGCTCTATTTCGAAATAAGTGCTGTATAGATGCTTCCAATTTCAAAATAAGCTATGGAATTGACGTAACTCAATTTGCATAGCTTATTTCGAGTTAAGCCTTGCTGTGTAGATGCATCCTTCATGACTGAGGTTAACATGAGTGACACCCCCACTAGTGAAAGTTAAATAAAGCCCTTCTGCCCTTTACTCATACAATAAGCAATATTTCATTTTCTTGCATTTAATAATACATTGAATTTCAACCCAAAACAGCACAATTGATCACTTTGTCAACTTAGGTCTGACTGCTGAAACTCTAGGCAGGATAAGTGTGCCAGTCTGCTCTTGAGGTCTCCCCCAAGTTTATCACTAGATGTTGACGAGAGCTCATTCAGACCCTGCTTACATAAGTTTGATACAATAAAGAAGTGGGAGACATGGAGAGATGTGAAGAAAGGGATGATATGGTCATGCAATGAGCTAGGAGATCCTTGCATCAGCATTTTGACTAGATATGATCAAGGCCAGCAAGAAGGATGTGGGAGTAATCTAGATATGAGATGATGACAACCTGGATGAGAATAATAGCTTTGGGGATGGTAAGAAAGAGCTATATGTAAGGGATGATCTGTACTACCATGGTAAATTGATTTAACTTATTCAACCTAAATTATGTGAATAATGTAACTAAATTCAACATTGATAGATCCACTTTTTGTGGGGGTTACACTGCAACTTAAATTATGTGAATAATGTAACTAAAATCAACATTGTTAGATCCACTTTTTGTGGGGGTTACACTGCTCTGTGTTGATGGGAGAGCATTTCCTGTTGCCATCATTTACACTTCTCGGGGAGTGGGAGTACACATCAGTGGAAGATTGTTCTCCCATCAATTTAGCATGTCTTCACCAGATCCGGTAGATTGGCACTGCTGCTTTCATTGCAGCAATCCTGATCTATTGACAAGCAAAAACATATCCTTACACAGAAAGATTTGGCAAGTGTTAGACATAGACTGGATACAAATACATAGAGAGAGAACAGAGTCAAAGATGACACCCAGTTTATGGATTTGAATGACAAGCAGAATGGTCATGAAGGTTGGAAGGTTTGGGGAAGAGCTCTGTTTTAGCCAGGTTGAATTTTAGCTGACAGCTAGGCAGCCATGAGAGGTATAAGAGAGAGAAGCCTACATTTTGGTTTGGACTGAAGGAAAAAAAATAGATATGTTAGTTGTCATCAAAGAGATGGGAGTTGAATTTGTGTTTGTGGATTGCAGGTTATCCAGAGAGGGAGAACAGAAGCAAACCAGAAACAGAGTCTGGTGGAGCTCTATACAAACCTGGAGAGAGAATGAGGTGGCTGCTCTGAGGACATGCTGAAGAAGGGATTAAAGAAGAGGAAGAAAACCAGGAAAGGATGCCACAAAAGCCATGGGGAAGAGAAGCTTTCATAAAGATTATGGTCTACTGTGTCAGAGACAGGTCAAATAGGAGGAGGATGGAGTACTGGTTCTGGCCTTAGATTAGGAAAAGGTCATTTGTGCTGATTCATAGGAAAGCCTGGGGCAGAAGCCAGACTGGAGAGGTTTAGGATGGAACTGGAGAGTAAAAGAACCCCAGACAATGATTGAGAACAGCTTATTCTTGACTTATTTGAGATTGACTTCAATGGGAACAGGATCAGACTTTTATTCAGATAAATAGGAGGATCAAGCTGATAAAGTGGTGTCCTGTAATCCAAGGATACTGTATTCTTAAAACCAGGAAGCTTTTAATTTACCTCTTAATTACCAATAAATTATCCTGAAGAGAGACACTTGCTATTTTCATTCATGCATTCTTTATTAATGTTCAGTAAGATTATCTCAAAAAACTTAACAGAAGGTTGATTGAAACTTTCAAACCTGGTAGTCTAAAATTAGGTTCTTGGATATATTTAGGTGCCCAAACACAAGTGGCTGTATTTTCAGAATTGCTGAGCAACCACTAGTCCTGTTGAAGTCAGTGGTAGATGCAAGAGTTCAGCCCCTTTGAAAAATCAGGAAACTTTTATTAAAGTGCCTAATCTTAGACACCCCAGTTTGAAAATGTTGGCTTTACTTCCTGCATCAAATGAACTCATGATTGAACTGCAGGGTCAAACCATCCTTGACAATAATGAATGGAGGACAAAATATGTGTTCATTTCTGTATTATTTTTATTATTAAAATCACTTCTACACCACATTAGGAGTATGTCTAGACTACGTGCCTCTGCTGACAGAGGCATGTAAAATTGACATAGTCAATGAAGCCAGGATTTAAATATCCCCGGATTCATTAAAATAAAAATGGCCACCGTGCTGTGCCGGCTCAGCTGATCATCGGCACAGAGTGCGAGTCAAGATGCGGATGAGTCGACAGATGAAGCCTTTGTCAACCGTTCCCTTATGCCTCGTGAAACGGGGTTTACAGGAGCGGTCGACAAAGGCTTCCCCCGTCGACCGATCCGCATCTTGACTCGCACTCTGTGCCGATGATCAGCTGAGCCGGCACAGCACGGTGGCCATTTTTATTTTAATGAAGCTGGAGATATTTAAATCCCGGCTTCATTGACTATGTCGAGTAGCCTGTTTTACATGCCTCTGTCGGCAGAGACATGTAGTCTCGACATACCCTAGATGCATAGTGCACTTTATTAGCATAATCTTTGCGTGAAGATGTATAGTGCACTTTATTAGCATAATCTTTGCGTGAAAAAAGCTTGCAATCTAATAGTATAGACTAAAAGACCAGGAGAAAAATAAAGCATTTTGTTTTGTTAATATTGTATGCCAGTGGTTGTCAGACTTTTCCATAATACAACCCTTTTTTTCCATACTAGACCAAGTGGGAATGTCTTCCCATTTAGCCAGGATCTAGCTGAGACCACACTCTCCCATATTTAAATAAGACAATTTAATTTGGCCAAATTGTGAGCTCATTTAGACCTGTATTAACTCGAGTTATTTCACTAGACTTAGTGTGGTGTGAATGACATCAGAATCTTTTAAATATATCAGTTAATTGAAATGTATGATGCAACCTTTTACCATCCAGATGGATCTGAAACTGTAAATGAGAGGATAATGAATCAATCACTCTGAACAAAGGATAAGATTATCAGTCCTACTATAATGCATAGAGATGTACTGGGTGACGTACTAGAGTTCTCTTCCAGCCCAAATGATTTTTTTATCTGTATAACCAATCAATTTAAATAATAAGCGTATTTGAAACAAAGCTGGTAATGTTTTAACCTGTGGTTTGTACAAATGTCAAACCTGTAGTTTGTACAAATGTAAAAACAGCAGGTATTGCAATGAAAGTATGTTGTCTGCCATGCACGTTTTGAGGGATCTGGTATAGTGTCACTGTACAGAAGGGGTATCCTATGTTATTTTCCATATGTGTCAGTCTCTTAATCCATAAGTAGTGTTATTTCATCTTAACAAGCTTGCTAGCTATGGGTACCGGGGACGTGACTGTCGCAGTAACCTATACCTACTTCCAACGGGTGAAACTGTGTATTTCATTGCATCAGTAGTTGTGTTATATAATGTTGAAGAACAACTTCAGAGACATTACACTGGTCATAATGATGATGTGAAGTGGTAAGTTTCCAAAACATTCTTATTTTTTTTTATAGAATAGGGTTCTGGAAAATGCTACCATTACCTTTTAAAAATTAATTAATATCCTTTCCTCTCTTTATCTTCATGTAGTGTGTGTTTGTTACATAAGAGACTGACTTTCCTCCTGGCTCATCTGATAACTGCATTTCCTTCCAGAAGATATATTTCTAGTCTATCTATCAGGATAATATTTATGTACTTTGTATTCTAGAACTGGAAATGCTTGCACAGAGTGGTTATAAAGTGCATTTTCAGTTCCCTATGTTTGGTTCCCATAACTTGTCTCTCTTTACATAGTAAGGTTTTGTTTACACTACCAAGTTTTGTCACCAAAATCCACCTTTTACAACAAAACAGTGGGAGTGTACATACTGCAGTTCAATTTTTGTTGGAAAAAAATGCCCAGTTTCGGAAACAAAAAATTTCCATCCCTATGAGATAATTAATTTCCCCCCTCTCTTTATTGTTAATAAAGAACCAGTGTAGACTGTTTGTTTTGTTCTCAGAATCCATAATGCCTGCCCTGATTTTTCTGCTGTCCTACAGCCATGCATCCCTCCTCTTTCAAAGCTCCTGGAAGTATCTGACAGCTGAGTGTGCTGCTTCGTTTGGGCAGCAAAAAGCAGATCATCAAAGTGTTCCTATTCTGCCCAACACTAGAAACACAATGGCAGCAGACTGCTGTTGCTAGTGGAGGGGGGCAAACTATCGTGCTGCTTTAACATTCTTCATCTTGGAGAGTTCACAGAGCTACTCATGGAAGGAGCATCAACAGCTGAGAATGCAGTTGGAGAAGTCTGAGAGAATCCCAGGATGCACAGGATCAGCTTTGTCTTCCCACAAATCTACTGTAGGATACATACCTACACTGCACTATTCACACTGACAGTGATGGTGCTCCCAGTGGACATGATTTTTTAACAGAGGAAGCAAGTGTGAACTCCCTCTGGCAATTTCTGTTTTGTTGACTTTTGGGTACAGACATAAATTTTGTACACAAAATTTGGTAATGTAGACATAACCATGTGGCTAAAAGGCTGTAAGGTATGCCTTGACAGGGTCGACATGGCCTTGTCACTAAAAGTCAAGCAATGTAAACATTTTGCGACAAAAAATTGCTGACAAAGCACTGTTTACACCAGCACTTGCAGCAGCAAAACTTTTTGTCATTTGGGGTGAGGGTTAAGCATATCTGAATGACAAAAGCTTTGTCACTCGATTGCCAGTGTAAACAAAGCCTAAGAGAAAGTGGAAAACCTTAGATGTTTGTCTCATCCATTGGATGGTTCGGGCCTTCCCTCTGCACTCACCAGCAGCAGAGGCAGCTATGGGAAGTGGTGCGACCTAGATCCAGACTGCTCCACTCCACCATCTCCTAGTTGGGTAACTCCACTTCCCTGGAAAAGGCAGCTGGAAATGGAGTGCCCTGGCCACAGCCTCAGACTATTCCACCAGGGAGCCAGCTTGGAGGAGCACAGTGGGTTGGGGCCAGGTTGCTCTGCTTCTCACCATCACGAGTGTAGGAGGGAGGGTTACCCCCTTGCTGCAGACATCAGAACCCTCATAATCCCTCTGGTTGTGTCTCTTGGGTGAAGAGGTGTAATGAGGGTAGGAGGGGTGGGAAGAGGCAGGGTGGGGCAGAGCAGGGGCAGAGTTTGGGTGAAGGAGTGGTGTAGGGTGGGGGTGGAGTGGGGCTGGGGCCTCAGGTGGAGGGGGGTATTGTCCCAGGTGCCACACCACTTTAGGGACAGTGCTGAGTTTGGTGTTTATGTTCAAGTTCTACAGTCTATTTACCTGTATTCTTCTTTATGTCTTTGTTGTTAAATAATTTGTTCATGATTTTGTTTATTTGTAAAGCTCTTAGCATTTATACAGTGGAAAAGTGCTTCTTGCTTCCTTTATCTACATTTTTCTTGGTTAAGCCTTATGAAACATCTGCTTGCCTGTATCAGAGGTGAAAAATAGTACTGATAATGGAATCTGGTTGCAGCCTTAACTATATAGTGCCAACAGCATGCTCCATAAAATGAATTAATCACAGAGCCTACTTGTTTACAGTGAGATTTTAACTTAACTGTTCTGTCTCATCTGTCTTCTCCAAGCTCTCCTGTCCCTTTGAAATTTTCAAAACATTCAGGATTTTAGAGAATGGATAATATTCAGTATTGAAAGTAGAGTGAAATCCTAATTCCCTACAGAGTTCATTTGACACTCAGCCTTCATGACTAAGTGAGAAGCAGCTGCAGTGAAAGAAGCATTAACATATTTGCAGTATAGTTTGCTTTCATCTTAAACATTACACTGATTATTTTCTCTTCTCTTGGGTACAGTGGTACAGTAAAAGCCCCTTTATCCAGCACTTCATCAACCAGCAAGATCAATAAACAGACATTTCTGACATGCACAAAAAGTCAATTTTATAGTTGATCGGTGCCGGGAAGAACAGCTCTTGCGCAAAAATACACAGCTCCTTTTTGCGCAAAACCCTCTTGCGCAAAAATGGTTGCTAATTAATTATGTAAATGAAGTGCGGCGATATTCTACTCCACACTTCATTTTCATAAGCTTTTGTGGAAGAAGGCTCCAGTATAGACGTAGCTTGGGATATGCAAGGGGCAGCACCTGCAGAGGGAGGCAATATGCCTGTTGCAGCTCAGTTGCCTGGACACACCTCTGCCAGGAGCAGAAGGGACTTGTGGGGGCCATCAGAGTTGAGCGGCCTCCATCTGGCACCCCCAGCTCCTCCCACCCCCCAAAGCCAGACCCAAGACCCCTGCGAAACCTGGGCTCACACTGCCCCCATTCTCCAAACCCCCTGCTAGACTCAATACCCCTGCTATAACTATGGCTCACACCCTCTTCCACATGTTCCAAACCCCTTCCTCTTAGCTAACAGGCATTTTTAATTTACTGGCAACCCCCCTGTAAAAGATAAAAGAGCTTTTACTGTAATTGCTGGGTTCCTTTTATTTATCTGGACAGCTGATTCTAGAGGTCAAATGGTGTGATTTCTTAGTTCTGGAATTGTGTTTCTGAGACTTAAATTTACAGATTTAAAATTTGTATCCTAGTAGACTTCTGAAGTGGATAATAATTGTCTTTTTTCCAGAGCAAGAGGAAGGATAACCAAAGCTTAAACTAGATAAAAAGAACCAATTAGTACTGTACTACTGTTCTATATGTTAAGATAACGGGAAGGGCACAAACAAATCACTAACTGGATCTAGTGTCTGCGTTGTGGTAACAGAAGAATTTGGGGAGTAAATGGTCACAAAAGTGGCTTTGTCTCTGTTTTGTGAATATATTTTTTAGATGTTACATTCCCATTATGATAAATGGTCATGAAAGTGGCTTTGTCTCTGTTTTATGAATACATTTTTTAGATGTTACATTCCCATTATGCATTGCTTTAACTGAAGTAATAAGACTAACTCTATAGACTCTTGTTTTAGTTGGAATGGAATTTGGCATTTGAATGTTACAATGTCTCATCAATGCCTTATATATGAAGTTTGATAACTTTTTCTTTTCCAGCCTGGCTGTCCATCCTGACCGAATCACGATAGCTACGGGTCAAGTTGCAGGTACCTCTAAGGATGGAAAAGTGAGCAAGCCTTTTGTTTAAAGTAACATACTCATCTTTCACAAGTGTGTGTTTATTCTAGACATAGTATTGTATTTTAACTAGTGGTATACTATTTTTGTGCATTCGTTAAATCACCCTTGAATTTTAAAAATTAAAAATGCAAGCCATTATACTCTTAATTTGACAGAAGTTAATTGAGTTGTGCCATTGTAACAATGGTAGTTTTATTTCCTGATGCGGTCTGTTTCTAACTCTCCAGCCCCATTCTTTACAGCAGTGCTCTCCAACCTTTTTACGCACAAGATCCCTTTTTGAATTTAAGTGCAATCCAGGTTCTACCTCAAACCCAGACGTCCTTGCCCTGTCTCCTTTCACACCCATTCTCCAAGCTCCCTCCCAGCTCACTCCATCCTCGCACTCTCACCATCTGCCCTCACTTTCACCAGTCTGGGTCTGGCCAATGGGTCGGAGTGCAAGGGGTCCAGGCTCTGGTCTTAATCCAAGGGGTGTGGAAGGGCTCTGGGCTGAGCATGGAGCAGAGGATTGGGGTGCAGGAGGATCCAGGGTACAGGTTCTGGGAAGGAGTTTGGGTGCAGGGTGGGCTATGGGCTGGGGGAGACAGGTGGGCTGCAGGAGGGGCAGACGTTCCAAATGCGGGCTCCAGTTGGGCACCATTTATCTCAGGCAGCTCCCCGGTAGTGGCACAGCTGGGCTAAGGCAGGCTCACTCCCACCCTCTGCCGCTTCTGAAAGCGGACAGCACGCTCCCTTCACCCAAAGCCCTGTCTTGCTCCCTCCCCACTCTGTGGAGGTGGAGTACAGGAATGGTGGAAGGGGGACACCCTGACATCCGTGCTCCCCTTCTCTCCCTCTTCCATCCTGCACAGTAAGCAAGAGGCTACTGGGGGGCAGCTCCAAGGCAGAGGGCAGGAGCAGCATGGCAGTGGGGGAGGGCAGCACTTGATAGCTTCCTGGCCAAACCAGTCAGGATCATCTGCCAGAAGGTCCAAGATCTATCGATAGATCCCAATCTATTCGCAAGTGTATCCAACACACCAGCCACTTGCCACATGTGGCTATTTGTCTGGTTGGGTGTGGCTAGTTGGCTTGAACAATGTGACTATCTGACCTATTGAGTGTTGATAATTAGCTTCAGAACTGGTTGGACAACAACAGAGACCATGAGGAGGTTTGGTGGTTGCTCCAGAGGAAAGATGGTACCATGAGACCAAAAAGTTTGATAGCTCTTTGTCTTATTTTTAAAAATAAGCAACACTGTTTTAGAAGGAAGCTGAGTTTTCTTTGAGATATTTTTATTACTTTATTACTTATGATCAATAAAAGATCAAGAGTAATAATTAGGCCTGATACAGCAGTTTATTTGTAGAATAAATTCTGTGCAATTCTTCCTAGCTTCTTTTGAGGTAACATTTGTGATCAACACATACTTACAGGGACTGCCCTCTAGTGGATTAAAAAAGCATTTCAGCCTCCATCATATTTAGGAATTTGTTCTATATTACTGTAAGTGGTTTTTAATAGAGAACTTTAAACATGTGTACTTGACATGCAAATAATTTTAATTTTTCATACAATGAATTGCTTTTAGGCTAACCAAAGATAGTACTAACCTATATTATAAAAAGTGAAACTAATAATGAAGACCTTTTAAATGGCCAACTATCCGCTGTTGTTGAGAGTAATTAGCCAGTTAGGTACATACATATCTGATTTTCTTATTTTTGTTTGTTGTACATTAGATATTTGATAGCAGCTGCAAACAGAATAATGCTTTCTGCATCTAAAACTCTTGTGAACTTGGAGTAGGACATGAAATGAGCTAATTGTAAATCTGATCTTGCAAGGAGCTTAACACTTTCCACTTAGTACAAGGCACCTGGGATTTAAGGATGGTTTTCACCCTTCCGGATTAATTCGAGTGACTAGGCATATGTCTTGGTATTACTGGGTCATTTGCTAGCCCATCTGTCATCATACAGCAGGAGAACTGTTCTGGTGTTCACAATAATTATATAAAGTGTTTCTAATGTGAGTTTTCAGATTTTAAAAAATGTTGATACTCTTTCTCAACATATTTTTCAGTTATTTCTGTTTTACTTTTTTACAGCAATTACCACCCCATGTACGTGTTTGGGATTCTGTTACTTTGAACACTCTGCATATCATTGGGATGGGCTTTTTTGATCGTGCTGTTACCTGCATTGCTTTTTCTAAGTCTGTAAGTAAATGCATGCATCAAGTGTTTTGTGCCCAATGTGTAATTAAATTATTTAAAGTTCCATATGCACCACATTCTGAAAAAATTGAGGCAAACCTTCACAATTTACTTCAGTGACTTTTGTGTGGTTAAGTCTGTAGGATTTGGACATAAAGATTTTATTTGGAAGCAGAATAAAATGTTCACGTTCAGTTAGGCAGCAGTGATTAATGACTAATGCTCTGTGTTTGTCACGAAGGTCATGGTATTCATGGATTCTGTGAATTTCCTTAATATACATGACTTCTGCAGCAGCCAGTACACCTGCCTTGAGGGCCACCTAAGCAGCTTAGACAGCCCCCGAACCAGATACATTGGCCACTGCTGGGGTAGACTTAGGCCCCTCCAACTCCACAGCAGCAGGAGATTATGGGGAAGGTGGGCTCAAGGCTGGGGGTTGTGATGCAGAACGGTGCTTACCTAGAGGGCTCCCTGGAAGGATGACAGGAATTCCCCTCCCTCAGTTACTAGCTGCACATGTTGCCTATTCCCACAGGCACTGCCCACTCAGCCAGGGCTGGCCTTACCATGAGGCGAACTGAGGCAGCTGCTGGTGCACATGTATTCTCTCTGCTCTAGATGCACAGAGATGGTGGAGTGCTGTGCTGGAGGAAGGAGGGCACAAGAGACATAACAGGCAGTCAGGAGAAAAGGAGGCATGGGGGCATCATTTGAGCTCCCCGCCTCAGGTGCCAAAATGTTGTGGGCCGGCCCTACGCTCAGCACCCATTAGTCGGGACTTCCAGCCAGTGGGTGCTGCAGAACCAGGGTTTGGGGTGGAGTGGAGGCAACAGGTGGAACTGGAGCTTGGAGGTTGCCACTTCCAAGTAGGAAACTGCCCCAGCCCTGCCAACCTCCTGCCCCCCATGATCCATGCTGCCCCACCCCGAGCAGTGCCCCTTCCCAAGTACCTAAGGTGCCTCCCCAGGATGCACCCACTGCACCTAATGCATACGCCCCCCCACCATTTATAGAGCCCCCAGAGTCACCCTCCCATGCTGCCCTCACCCCCCAACTTTTAGTCGGGTATATAGTAATACCTGTGACTAAAATGTAGCCTTATTACTGGCTTTTAGGCTTGTACTTATTCATTTCTGCAAATGATTTTTTAAAATTTTTGCTTCAGAATGGAGGAAGTAACCTTTGCTCGGTGGATGATTCAAATGATTTATAGAGCCCCCAGAGTCACCCTCCCATGCTGCCCTCACCCCCCAACTTTTAGTCGGGTATATAGTAATACCTGTGACTAAAATGTAGCCTTATTACTGGCTTTTAGGCTTGTACTTATTCATTTCTGCAAATGATTTTTTAAAATTTTTGCTTCAGAATGGAGGAAGTAACCTTTGCTCGGTGGATGATTCAAATGACCATGTGCTTTCTGTATGGGACTGGCAGAAGGAAGAGAGGCTTGCAGATGTCAAGGTGTTGCAATAAGATATTTTGTGCAATAAAATGCTTTCTTGTATATAGATCTGAATATTTCTTGTTAAATGTCTTTCTGTACCTTTTAATTCTGATTGATAATATAAATATACCTATCTGAAATATTTCTTCTCAAGGTTGAAAATAATGGGGAGAGGGACCTTTTTGGAAGGAGGAGAGGAAAGGTGTCTTGTCTTTTGTTTTGCTGTCATAAAACCAAAAATAACTAATAGTCTAGTAGCACCTTGAAGACTAACAAAACATGTAGATGGTATTATGAGCTTTCATGGGCACAACCCACTTCTTCAGATGACCGGAGTGTTGGAAGTTGGTCATCTGAAGAAGTGGGTTATGCCCACGAAAGCTCATGATACCATCTATATGTTTTGTTAGTCTGTAAGGCACTACTAGACTATTTGTTGTTTTTTAATTTTTTCCTGTCATAATCAAGTTAGAGTTATTAGGAGATTTTTAAAAAGCAACTGTAGGGATATATAAGAGGGCATATAGAAAAATGCTTTAAACAAATTTTAATTTGAAGGCTGCCTTTTAAGAATATCTGGCACAGTTTTGAAGACCTGTTTTAACCTGCAATACTAACAAAATTAGAAAAGTTTTCACTTTAGCTATTTCCTTCAAGCCATTTCATCCAAAGTTCTTATATATCAGTCTGCTGTCACTTAATGGAAAAATGTCAGCAAACAATTTTAAATCCAACTAGAGTACATAATTGTATATCATAGCCAATTCCGGGGGTGGGGGGAGGCTTTGGGCTGCGGCACAACGCGGAAGCCAATTGACTTATGAGTCAATTAGTTTGTTTAACTAGAAAGCAAAATATGTATGTGTAGTTATGTTTTTTGTGTATTTTAAATTATAATACATTGTTTCTTTCTTTTCAAGTGTTCTAATGAGGCAGTATTTGCAGCAGATTTTCATCCTACAGATACAAATATAATAGTTACTTGTGGAAAATCACACCTTTACTTTTGGACATTAGAAGGGAACTCCCTTATTAAAAAGCAAGGATTATTTGAGGTAAAGTAGTATATGCTTTTTTTTAAAACACAACAATGCAATATGCATACAGCAATAAAGTTTATTTATGTCTGAACAAGAAGTAAGACTAAGTGGACTTGTAGGCTCTAAAATTTTGTTTTGTTTTTTAGTGCAATTACTTAAAAAAATTCTACATTTCATGATAGAGATTTCACTACAGTACTCATATGAGGCACATTGAAAAAAATCTTTCTCTTGTTTCTCTTTTATACAGTGCAAATATTTGTAATGAGAAATAAAGTGGACACTATACACTTTGTATTCTGTGTTGTAACTGAAATCAATATATTTGAAAATGCAGAAGAACATTTAAAGTATTTATAATAAATTGAAATTGGTATTCTATTCACAGTGCCATAAATGGTGATTAATTGTGCTATTTTTTAATCTCATGAATAATTACAATTATTTTTTTAATCATTTGACAGCCCTACATTAAGTGATAAATCTTTATACAGACTTCTTCACTTTGTTGCTGTTAAATATATTTCAATGAAAGGTTTTAACATGATATTTACACTTCTGTACTCTAGTACACATTTCTCCTCTGATATTCTTTCAGAGACAACTTTTCATCCTCTGTATAGTAGATATAATATGTAGTGTGTGTCACCTGGATTCTCCAGAGCTTGAGAAGAATGGCAGCACCTCTGTTCTTTACTGAATGCTTCAAAGCCTTGTCAGCAAACAAATATCAAGGGATCCTTAAAGCTTGTAGCATTCCAGTTCTTGAACTGATAGCTGATTGGTTTACTCAGCTGCTGGTGAAACAGAAACCTGTAGCCTAGATCAAAATTGTTAGCCAGTCCTCACAGTAAACATTTCTTTTCATCCTGTTGGGTCCACAGCCAATCAGTCATAGGGCTGTCTTTAACTTCTATATCTATTTAACTTTCCCTCTTCACTAAACCCCCCCACAGCTCTGCTTGACTAAGCTGTATGCATGGGACCTGCAAAACTTACTCCTGGGGGAATTCTGCACATCTACAAAATTGTTCTGTCCTGCAAATTTTGTGTTTTCCTGCATAAAATACATTCTTCCCATGAAGTGCTGCATTTCTGCTTTTGCACACCAGAGGCTGCCGTGGTGTCAAGAATAGCAAATGCATGAACACAGCCTGCTGTTCTGGCACTGCAGCGTCCTCTGGTAAACAAAATGCGGAACTGCAGCATTTCAGTGATGGAATGTATTTTTGGGGGGGCAGGTGGAGAGGAAATTGTATACCCACTGCTACAGAATCCCTCTAAGGAGTGGAAGTCCATCACAGCACCCTGCCCATGGAGCGAGGTTAGGACACAGTGGGGCACACGGGGCTGTTGGGGGATCACAGACTAGGGATCAGAATGATCAGTGGGAGGAACAGACTGGGGCAGGGCTCAGGTGACAGCACTGAACCTGAGGCTTTGGGAGGGGGGCTTCAGAGACCCATGGTGATGAGGGTGTGGGGACAGGGGCAGATGTGCCTGACTGAATGAGAGAGGCTAGGAGTCAGCCAGAGTTTGCATGAAGAAGCTATCCCAACTCTAACAATTCCCCCACCCCAAAAAAACCTTTTCCTATCCACACCCAGCACTCTCCAGATTCTTTCCTAAGCTCCTTCCCTTTCCTTCAGCTCTCCCATTGTCTCTGACTTCCCCAAACCTTTCCACTACTTCTTACATGTGGAGGCAATATAGTTCAATGTGATAGTTTAAATGATTTACTCAAAGTTCTATATTAATATGCTTGGCAAGGAATCTATTTGGGAAAAAAACAGAATCTTTACTTTTGGTTTGTATTGTTACAGACATACTCGCTGACAGATATTTTGAAATAAATTACCAAAATAATTCAAGCTGGCATTATTATATTGTGTATATTATATTGTGTTATTTTGACAAATAAAATATGCACAATATTCAAATATAGTGTGCACTGTTTTACAATTTTTAATTTTTTGGTGCAGAATTGCCCTTGGAGAAAAACTACTTTTCCTCAGTGCAAAAAAATTATACAGCTACGCAAACAGCTATTGGTCATGCTTAATAACTGCCATTCCCTATTCTCTGTCTTCTAGCTGAGTTTCTGTGCACAGACCATAGCATATTGAGAAAAAAAAATCCATGTCTTCTCCCTGCTTCTCTCTCTTTCTTTTGGCTAATTTAAAATGTGCAATATAAAGCATGTGGGCTATATGTGGTCCAGTTGGCTTCTACTTTTTAAAATCTATCTCCTTAACCAAACCAAGTTGAAGAAAATTACTCAAGTAATTGTAAAGTTATAAGCATTTTAAAGATAGAACTATTAAATATGAATTTTGTTTTTATTTTTAAATGGATTTTTAAGGATAGCCTGAGTTAAGCTGAGGAAATAGTACAGATGCATTTGTTACCTCGAGAGCAAATATGCCTGGAACGCCTAAACCTCACAAAACTTCCACATTTTTCTTCAAAGAAATCTCAAGCTTTTCTGACAGTGTTTGCAGAACTTCTGCAAGCCTATTGAAGCTCCTGCTTTTTCTTTTTCAGATGGAGAAAAAAAAGACAATATTACAGTATTAGTACTATAAGTTTAAATTGAATTAAATATATACAACTAAGCAGCCGTGCCAAGCGGTGGGGGGACAAAAGAGGCATTTGCCTCAGGGCCCAGCGATTCTAATAGGCCTGGAACTCCCAGTTGCCACTGCTATTTTGGCAGCGGTAGCAGCCAGAGCCCTGGGCCCCTTTGAATTGCTGGTAGAGTGCAGTGCCAGGGGCTTGCGGAGCTCTGAGAGCTGGGAAAGGGACCGCTATCCAGGTGGAACTGGGGGTGGCTGCTCTCAGCCCTATTCCTTGTACCTGAGGTCTCGCCCCTTCTGGGGTACAGAGCTGCCCCCCCCACACACACACTTTACCTTGGGGACTGCAGTGTCTCTCTATCCCACTGTAGCTAAGGGGAATGGACTGTTTATTGCTGTAAATGTACTAATTCTCTGCCATACAGAAACAAGAGAAGCCAAAGTTTGTCCTATGTGTGACTTTTTCTGAAAATGGTGATACAATAACAGGAGATTCAAGTGGAAACATCTTAGTCTGGGGAAAAGGTAAGACTAGACAGATTATAGCTGTGCATTTTATACTGCACTGAAATAAGACAACTGTTTATTTTCCTTAGAGTGATTCTGCATGTATTTATTCCACTCTAGGTGTATGTATGCCTAATGCATATGAGTCGGATAATTTTGACAGCAGTACCACTAGTCAGCACTGCAACTCTGCCACCCTTGGCTTAGAGCAAAGGGCACAAACGGGGCGTGACCACCACCTCCTTCTCATTTCCTTCATATACCAAGAGTTGGAGCTCTCCATCACACTTGACCTGAGTTAGCCAGCATAAAAAGAGAATTTCACATTTTGTGTATAGTATAGTTACAGTTTAGTAGGGAATTAGCTGACAGTGATTTTAAGGATTTTTTCCATGCAGAAATCCACCAGATTTGAACAGTGTGCCACATGCAGGACTGTTATTCCTGTCACTGATAAACATAAAAGCTACCTAATTTGTTGGGGAATTTGTCCTCCACATGTCTCGCCTAATCAGTTCCCTGTTCTCCATGAGAATGAAGAAACGAGGATTTCTGTCTGAAGGTTCATCTCCTCTACAATGTCATGTATCACTCCTGAAAGATTGACTCTGACCACAAGAAAAAGAGGTTCTCCACAAGGAGCAACCCTCTGGCTGCCACAGCTCCAAAGCTTAGATCTTCTTCCTATCTTGTGGCTTCATCAAAGCTTTCAAAACTTTTGAGGGTGATAGGCCACACTCCCAATCTAACAAGGCACTCAAGTCCTGTAGTGCCAAGGTGTGGGCACAAGCACCCTGATTCACCAATGCCATCTGAAATGGCATTGTTGACGCCAGCAGGGCCATTGGAATTAGTGCCATCTCTGTTAGAGAGATCTTCATCCTTGACACTCAGATCTGGTACCAGTTCCTGCGTCTGCACACTGTGCTATATTCACCTCTGCTACTTCTGCTTGGTCTACTCATCCCTCAATCCTATCAGCTCTTCCTGCACAACCTGCCACTACAGCTTCTGCAGCTTCAGCACGGAACACATCAGCACTGTCAATTTCAACTCATCTTTCAACAGTCTGTTCACCTTGCCTACCTCATCTGGCATTGTTGGATTCTTTTTCAGTGTCAGGACATAGGACTGACATAGGAGCCTCCATTCATTGAGGAGAGATGTTTTCTCCTTCTTGGACTTTGACCAACATAGACCTTTATCTCTAAGGTCTTTCAGATATTTATGCAGGTCTTACTCTAGGGACACATATCCCAGCGATCAATATCACTGTATTTATAAAGATGCCCCAGAATGCTGCCTTCCACCATGACCACTACAAAAACTTGAGCCTTGTTGACTGCTCTGAGGCACTCCAGCATCTACACAATCCAGGAGGAGTCACATTCTCCAGCTTCTGTAGCCACTTGTGGAGTTCCATAAAACCACAAAGTCACCTCTTGACAGAGTCCAAACAAACTCAGTTTATTGGCAGTTAAAATAAACATGCTTAAAAATCAAACAAACAATATCATTCTCAACTTACATTGGCCCTCACTTTTTTAAGAAGTAAGGACTGCTTTTAAAAATGTTACCCGTGCTTGATTGGAAATTGCAAATTTTAATTAATTGAATTGTTAATATTATCTCCTGGTTGTGCACAATCCTTGTGATGTTCAATTTCAAGTAAAACCTGTACGTCACGGGTGGGAAACCTCCGGCCTGCCAAACAATTTCATTCGGTTCCCCAGGGGGAGGGGACAGGTGTCGTGCAGTGGCTGTGAAACACCTCAGGGGGATTCCAGGTGTAGCTTAAAAAACTTCCCCCAGCCTCCCCTGCAGCACAGCCCAATACTTCTGGTTCCTCTCCTGCACATGGGAGAGGCATGCGCAGGAGATCTGGCAGGAGGGAGAAGCTTCACGTGGTGGAACCTTGCGGCATTTTGGGAAGCAGAAGCAAAAAAAAGGCTGCAGCTGCTTTCTGGCTGCCAGCAAAACTCCTTTTGCTGGTAAGGAGGCGTGCGGAAACAGAGGAAAGGGAGGGAAGGGGGGAATTTGTTCACAGAGTATGAGGGAAGGGAAGCCCCCGAACCTCTTCCCTGCATAGGCTCACTGCAGCAGGGAACATTGTCTGACAGACTGGAGCCATACACAGCCAGCAATGCCTCCTTAACAGTTAAGGAGGCATGTGGGACCTGAGGGAGGGGGAATTGCTTGCAGGAGTGGGAGGGCAGGGAAGATCCCCTCCAGCCCCTCCCTTGCAAAGTACAAATTCAGCCATCACATTAAAATTGTAAATAAAAAAATTAAAAAGAACATCATACCACAACAATTTTGGTGGGTTTTTTTTCTCACTGTTGTATGGCCCCCGAGTCATATCTCTGTGGGTTAGCATCTCCGACCCAAAAAAGGTTTCCCACCTCTTCTGTAAGTCAGTACAGTTGGATGTATGACACTTAGAGATTTACCCTTTGAGCTATGACACATGTAACCATTGACTATAACTCCAGACTTGAAGGTGAAGTGAAAAATAAAGTAAAAATGAAATAAATAGTTCACTAATAACATCTTTTCTCCATCTGTCTAGGTACGAATAGAATAAGCTATGCTCTTCAAGGAGCCCACGAGGGTGGTATTTTTGCACTTTGTATGCTGCGAGATGGTACACTGGTATCAGGAGGTGGAAAAGACAGAAAAATAATATCTTGGAATGGGAATTACCAGAAACTTCACAAGACTGAGGTGATATTAGTGATCTTTACATTTTACTTACTACTTTAAATGGAAAAGAGAAAGAACTTTCTTATGAACTGTGCTCCCTAAATCAGTATTCTTGTTTAGGACTCCTCATTCTGTGGCATTTATATATGGTTTATTTTGAAATTTTTTAATTTAAGACCTCAATTAGTTGTAAGAAAGCTTCTAATGAAATGTTGCTTATATTATTTCTGTCCTTCTTTGTCAAATTTCTAACAGCAATAGGCATTTTTTAATTTAATATTTACAGTGCTTGGCAATAATAAATACTAAGCTAATTCCACACTTTTATTTTCTAAAACAATAATGGTGATGACAATGGTTTTTATCACTTTCTATGCTTGGTCTTAGTCCAGTGGTGAATTTAAAACATTTTTTACTAAATTTCTAGAGCCATTTTGTAGGAATTTGTGCATTCAAACTTTGTGGGAATATTCACAGTAAGTACATTTGTTACATCTGAAAAGCAAAGATATGTGACAATTTAGACACTGTGTAAAGAGAATGATCAGAGGAAAGCTATATATTCTGGTGGATGAACTGTACTACGTACTTTAGAGACATTGCACATGCATTAGCAACTAGGGGCAAGCTTTCCATAACTTTGACCACTGAAAAAGGTCAGACTTCCTGCTTACTTATTCTTACTTCCCAAATAATATTTTTATAATGGCTTATTATTAAATCACCTATTCTATTCAGGTTTCCCGCACTGTTGAGCTGTACACTCTGGATTGCACTGTGGTCTTCCAGGAAGCAGCAGATTAAAGCAGTGTACATTTACTGCATAGTATAGGTGTATGCAAAATTTGTCAGTACCTCCAAGAAAAGCTCAGTAATTTTTAATTTATTTTAAAAAGAATTGGATTTTTTACAAAAATAGTTGGTCCAAAATTAATGTTTCAGTTTGTAAAATGTGACTGAATTAACTGCTATAAGGGAACATAACATTTTCATTTGCTGACTTACTTGGTTTTAGTTGTGCAGATTTTATGTTCCACTAAAACAGTGGTTCTCAAATTTTTTAGCCATAGCCCACCCCGCTCAATGAATACCTTTCTGTGGAACATCAACCAACCACCCATGATGCCAAAATGCATTTGTTTATCTCTAAATACCTTAAATACTTAATTATTCATATTAGTATAAACATGCAAATATGTAGCTATAACATACTGGGGCATATATAACCAGTAAGAAAGGAAATACTATTAATCAAAATCATTAAATAGATTAAGCACTTTAACTTTATCATGTTAGTTAATCAAACTTCATTTTAAATAAAGTAAAATATTAATATATATATAAAAAAAGGTTTCAACATTGTCTTTATGGAAGGAGCGAACCTTTTTTTCACTGATTCACAGAAAAATCCTCACAAAAGTGAGAAGCAAAAATACCAACAACCCCTTCCAACTCTCACTCTCACATATGTGGCCCCCAGTTGAGACACTTCACTCCCCTTATCCTTCAGCTCCATGGAGGAGGAGAAGGGGAGAAACTAAGTTCAGGATTTCCCACAGGCCAGCTTAACTCTTCTGGGGCCCCAAAGCTAGTTGATTTTGTGGGCCCCTCTAAGCTTTCTGGGGTGGGGCAAAAAATGAGGTTCAGTGTGTGGGAGGGGGCTGCCAGGGAACGGGATAGGGGCTGAGGTGCAATGTCTGAATAGGAAGTGGAGTACAGGTGGGAAGGCAGGGTCTAGGCAGGAGGTAGAGTGCAGGGAGGGGGTGAGGATGTGAGGTCTGGGTGGGAGATAGAGTGTAGGAGCAGGATGGGGCTCTGGCCAGGAGGTTGGGTCCAGGAGCAGGGTGGGGCTCTGGCCAGGAGGTTGGGTGCAAGAGCAGGCTGAGGGTGGAAGATTTGGGTGCGAGGTTGGATGCAGGACCTGGAGGCACAGGGCCTCAGTGGGAGGGGGCTTCAGGAGCAGGATAGAGGTGTGGGATCTGGGCACGAGGGGGATGAGAGAGCTTACCTGGCTCCATGCACCCTGCTGCTCCCAGACATCGCTCACATCTGCTCCCATTGGCCATAATTCTGACGAATGGGAGCAGCAGGGAAAGCCTCCAGGCAAACAGTTTCCTGCACTGCCATTTCCCCAGCTGGGGGAAGGAAGAGCAGCAGTGCAGAGAGCCACTTCCTCCTCCCTTTGTGGGAAGCTCCAAAGATGTGGGGCAGGAGGTCGGGGGGGGGGGCAAGACAGTTTGCACTTTGAGAACAACTGTACTGGAAGATTTACACAGCATTGCTCAGGACCTTAACTCAAGTAATTTTTGTGTTTGATAAAATAAAATAAAAATGTACATGCTGAATTTAAATCATTGCCCTGGAATGGGGATGGGGATGGGGATGAGGAGTTCAGTATGCAGACTGTCCTGGGGAGAGAGGACTACCCCATTCTTCTCTCTCCACAGCAGCTTGAAACCAGGTGAGAAGCACCTTTCTATGGCCACTGCAGCAGACACAGAGGGAGAGGGTTCCATCCCATTTTCCTGGCACAACCAAGCCTTTACCTTGCTTTAAGTTATGAGAAGAAGCTGTACACCGAGTTTGATGGTCTTAGCTCTTACCATTTAGGAGGAGTTCTTGAACAGACAAGCAGACAAACTCTCTCTCAGATATATAGTAGATTAGCACAGATACCTTTTTGTGTAGTATTATAAATATTGTCATAGCTCTGTGGAAGTCAGTAGAACTATAACATTTTGCACCAGTTTAGGATCTGCTTCCTGGTGTCCTATATTATTTTATATTAAATTGTATAGCCTTTATTTGACAATGCTCAGTGTTGTGTGACTGCTTAAAACTCCATTTGTATTTCTTGAAATAAATACTTTAAAAAAACAAATTAATGTTTGAGAAACAATTTTGTACCATCCGGCTTACCAGTCCATTTATCTGTTATGATTACAGATACCAGAGCAGTTTGGTCCAATAAGAACAGTAGCAGAAGGGAAAGGTGATGTTGTATTGATAGGCACTACTAGAAACTTCGTTCTACAAGGTACTCTATCAGGAGACTTTTTTCCAATTACCCAGGTAAGCTGTTTCCTTGCAAACTAACAAAAAGCATACAGTTTTAAAATATGTAAATGCACTAATACCACTTGTCTAATGTTAGGAAAATACAGACCTATTAAATTAATTTACCAGAGTAGTGATTTCAGAAATAAAAAAATCTGATAAAATAAGTACCTATCCAAACTTAGCAGAATTTCTGATGGCTTAATTTATACAATAAGCTATTTTTAATCATGTTAATTCAGAAACAATTAAACTTAATTAAAGGTATTTAACTTGCATGTTACTGTCCATCATCTGAAGAAACTTTGTTTATATTTGTATAGGGTCACACTGATGAGCTATGGGGACTAGCCATCCATCCCTCTAAACCTCAGTTTTTCACTTGTGGACATGATAAACACATTACTCTCTGGGATGCTACCAGTCACCGTCCTATCTGGAACAAAATAATAGAGGTATATACTGTTTAGCCCACACTCTTCTCATTCATGGAATAAAGATTTTCAAATAAGTTAATTTTTTTTAAAAGAATGTTTTGTTAGATTATGTTATGGGGGAGAGAATCAGTGACATGGTATATAATTTAACTTTCTGAAAATGTTTATACAGTGCTAAAACCTGTAGCAGTGTTAAGCCAAACATTATAACCACTGACCCTTTCACTAACTCAAAGCTAATTTGAGTGCTGTATAATACAAAAAGTATGCTGTGCTTTAGCACTTATTTTAGTCAGAAGAAAATCACAAAACTGAAACTGGAAGACTTGGCATTTTATTATTTTTGAGAAGTGGCAGATGTACACAGACTAGGAATTGCTTATCTACATGGAGCAGCAATGCACGCTATGAGGATGTGATTTCCAAAGCTCCTTATCATCATCAATCATCATCAAACAACCATGGGCTCAAAGCCCGTTGGTGTCCGATGCCTCCCTCACTATTTCCTTCCATCTTTCCCTGTCCAGTGTAGAGTGGCTTAGTTTCTGTAGACTAGCTCTGTACCAATCGACTACATCATCTACCCATTCTCTGTGGGGTGTGGCTCTCCTATTTGGACTATCTATTATGCTGAATACTAGGGTCTTAACTTTTCACTCATCGTTCATTCTGCAGATATGCCCAAATAGCTGTAACTTTTGTTGTATAACCTTCTGCAATAGGTTCTCTTTTGGCTGTATCTTCCTATATAATTCCTTGTTGGTGACTTTCTGCATCCATCCTATTCTCAGGATCTTTCTATGACAACTCCTCTCGAACGCCAATATCCTTCTCTTTGCACATTAATTAGTCTGTGTATATCCTGCTGGTGTGCTTTAATGTAATGTTAAGTGCACTAAGTACCATGAATTAGTGAATATAAACCGCAGGTTATATATGCTTTTACACACACACACACACACACACACACACACACACACACACACACACGATATACATGTCAGTGTCTTATACAAGCTGATTTTTACTCAAATTAAAAGACAAGACCAACATGATAAAATCAGCATCTTCTATTTAATAACAATTTAATTTAATAAGAGCGGCAGTGTTGTTGTGTGTACCATTTGTCAGGAAGCTGTTTCCCAACAGATGACTGTGATCAGACTGAAAGGTTGTTTCTTTTCATAAATTTGTAAACCCATTTACCTGAGCCCCCTTTAAAATCATGAATTTTCATCTCCACAGCAATAAGTCGAGCCTTGAGCTTTATGGCTAACATTGACACTGCACGTTGGCTATCTCTCTGTGCAAGAACCCACTTCACCAGGTTTTCTTCTAGTTTTGGCCACTTGGCTTTCTTTCCTCGACGCGCGCTTTTCTGAGGATTTAATTTCTCAGTCTCCACTTCTTTTTTACTCCATTCCCAAACAAACTTTTTGTTGATGAAAAATTTTCTCCCCACTGCTCTGTTGTCATTTTCTTTTGCATATGTCAGATAATTTAAAATTGGATGTACAGTAAAACTCCGATGATCTGGCATCTGATGGTCCGGCACTCCTGATGGTCCGGCACCATCAGGAACCCAGAAGTGCTCCGGGCAGCCGGACCATTGGAGCTGCTCTGCCCCCAGCTTCCCCGATTCAGCCGCTGCTAAAAATGACCAGTGGTCGAAACGGGGAAGG